CATCGGAATGCTTCACGTTTCAGTATATTGTCAATATCTATTCTGGCAAGTTGTGTTAACAGGACATCAACCAGTTCATCACTAGAGCAACCATCACTCATCTCTGCCCACTTTTCGGGACCTCCTTCAATGAAATCACCACAGCAAGACTAATCAGGTCTATGAGTAATCAATAAAATAAGAATAATTTTTACAATTAATCAACATTCAACACTTTGCATAATATATTTTAGTGTGCTCCATCATGCTAGTGATGATTACCTTGGTGTAGCAGACCGTTTGATTTGTTCCAACTCTGCCATTGACTTGTCTCTCCTCTTTTGCACATCTTTATACATGATCAAAAATGAACTACAATTATGAGCATGAGTGTATAAGTTATATATACAAAATTATTAACCTACTCATTAAATTAAATGGTGCTCCATGTATATTAATATAAATTATACACCAAGGTAGAGGCTTCTATAGGATTTATTATCCAAGGGACATGTCAGAGTCATGAGGTTAATAAATGCCATAGAAACTGATGCTGAGGTATATAGTATGTACTAGCTTTTACCAAGACATTTGAAAAACAACTACCAGCTGCTGATAAAAAGACCACAGTTGACATACACACAACATACCAAACAGTAATAGGCTAGGCAAGTAAAGAATCAGGACTGATTACAGGGCGTAGTACCATTTAATTTAACGAGTTACATGTAGGTTAATATGACCTACAATAGTGGAATTTCATTGGTCAGTTGCAAGTATGCATAGAAGAAGAACTAGAAGAAATGAACAGATAAACACCTCCTTTGATGTTTTAAACATGGAGACATAGTTGACAAGTTGTGGTATTTCTTTGCAGCTTCCAAGCATTTGATCATTAACATTAACATCAAAGAAAAAGTTTAAAATACATTAAGTTGTGTCCTGTTGTCCTTTCTCTAGTGCTTACTTATATTCTTTCATTACCCTAGCATATTGAGCCCTCACTGCATCAAGTTCACTCTTTACCTTCTACAATATAAAATGTACATGTAAATACATACATCATTGTAAATAATCACTATCTTACTCTAAAGGAACTTTCAATCAATTCATATTCTCTCTTTGGAACAACGTCACCATAAACAGCTAGCCATTACTTGATTAATACGCTTTTTGGCAATAATACGCTTTTTGGCAATATGAATATCCTCCTTGACACGTCTTTATACAAAAATA